TTGCCGCATTTGGCTGACTTTTGCCCATTTTTGACAATTTTCAAAATCTATCTCCTCCTACAGGGAAGGCCGTACACACCTGAAATTTGGCCAGCACAAACTACAGGAGGTGGTGATTACACGTTAGTAAAACGGTCCACACAAGTGTGACGGCATGGAAATGGCGCCATAAAACACCAGAATACGAGACGTGCTGTGTCTGTGCTCCAATCAGCCTGAAATTTTTTATTATTATTTATTTTGTAATTTGGCGCTCTCACTACTCCACAGAGGAAACCTGTGAAAGAGCAGCAACAAAGACTAAGTCATCCCATCATAACAGTTTTATCAGTTTTGGTATTTTACTGTTGATTTTTTCTTAATGAGTGAGAAATTAATATATTTAACGACTGTGTGTCAACTGGCAGTACCGTACAAATGACAAAACTGGATATACGAAGAGAACAACACAACACACATCAACATGAGCACGCCTGTTTAAAATGTCCACATTTGTTTATTTCAGAACCTGAAACAAATGCCGTCATTAAATCACTGATATTTATCAGTAACTCGGTCCTGGACAGAATCCAGCTGAGGAAAAACAAACAAAAATCCTAAAACATTTTCATAAAAACTGTACAACTTCCCAGCAAAAACGAGAATAAAAAATACATCTGGAAAAAAAAATCATTGTTGAACTTAAAAATCCGACATTTTAAAATAATAAATAAGCGGTCAGGAGGGCAGTCCTGCAGCGAGGATGCTGCCCAGCAGCGTTCGGTCCTTCAGAGCGTTTTCAACGTCTTTCTCCTCGATCTTCAGAAACACCTGCAGGAAAAACACAAACTTGAATCAGTCGGTTCTTCACTCAGACTCCTCGAGACTCTGATTGAAGTGTGAAGGCTGGTGATAGTTAACATTTAAATGAACAAATACAAAGAACTGATGCACACCTAAACAGTTTAGCTCGACGCCATTTGCAACTGTCAACAGAACTAAAACATGTGATGTGATGGACAAGTAAAGCCCTTTTTAATGCATATCAGCTGCGTTTGACGGATTCCTGGTTCTGTGTTTGTACCTTCGTGAGTCGAGCCTCTTTGGCTTTCTTCAGAGAGAAGATTCCTCGACTCTCCAGCAGGCTGCAGAGCGACAGACACTCGGCCTGACCGACGGCGGACACCTGCCTCTGGGCACACAGTCGGCTGTACACCTCATGGAGCTGAAACACAAACACAAACGACACGGAAACGCTGTCAGACCGAGTAGACACAGGAGGTAGAGCACTCGTCAGTGTAATCTTAGAATAAGGTCTGGTTTGAAGTTTTAATATGGATTTAGATTTATTTTAAGATAAACCAACTTCTATCAAGACATAGTTTCATCATCCTGCTCGAGTACTGAGGAATCTTTACTTAAATTAGTAACTTTGTTCTTGTTTTAAAACCTTGATTTGCTCCAAATAAGACAAAAAAAAAGAATTATTTGCTTTTATTTAGTATTTTTCACTGATTATTGGGCAAGTTTGATTTCAAGTATTTCCACCTGATAATCAGCATTTTCAGCTTGTTTTAATCTTTTCGGATATTTACCCGGGACGATTATTTCTAGATTTAAAAATCTTATTTCAAGACTTCTTATCAAGTAAACTTTACTTGCAGCATGGACGGATAACTTCACGAGTTTTAAGTCATGTTCTTCTCAGATGTAGTGTTTATATCTTATATCTGGGCTGCCCCCTTTGTGCAGTGAACACCAACACAAACTCTTCTCTCACATTAAAGCTGCAGCGACACAAAAAGACAAAAACCTGGTCTCTGTCCACACCGCTCACCTTTCCCAGGACGATCTCTTTGCTCTTTCCGTTGCGGATGAGCAGCAGGAGGCAGCAGACCAGCAGCTTCTGCTGCAGCGGGAAACTCTCTCCGTCGGAGCCGCCGCTCTGAGACGCCATGCGGTCGCCGTACACCTCCGACAGAACCCGAGCAACCTGCGGCAGGCTGACCCGAGAGGCTGCAAACACCCAGGAGAGACAGTGTTAGAAACCAGTAACATCAGTCAGCGCCTCAGCAGCACCGTCAGGGCTGCAGCTCCATCTGATCCGCCAGGAGGAGGTTTCAGACTGAGGCCACGCTTACACACAGCCGGTGTTCACAAAAACGGGTCTACGTGTTCAAAAATAACATCGTTCACACCAGATTGCTTTAAAAAATAAAAATGTCTGAGAGCTGCTATGAGCTGCCAGACCTGTAGGGGGCAGTGTAACGAGAAGCATGCTAGCCAATCAGCAAAACTTCCTGTTACTTCAACGATAACAGCGCGACAGTTGTTTGATTGGACCCACAGAGAAGTGGAGCTGCTCCTAAACGTGCTGCTGACTGTTAACGTGTCAGCCCAAGTATGTGGACGTAGCCAAACTGCTAACACGGTCGCACATGTATGACGCTTTTGTCACACACGCTGTGACGTCGAACTCCGTCTCCTCCTGTCTACAGGCAAAGACAGAGTTTTCCCAAATCTCCTCTGTGGCCGGAGTTTTCAGACACGATCGTTTCCGGTGACTCGTAGCTTCGTCTACGTGTAAACCAAAGGCCCGTCGAGGTATCACCGTTTGTGTAAACGCGGCCCGACAGTTTGATGGAGGACCACAAACAGCTGAACCCACCTTTAGCTTCACTGTTTGGATCAGCTGTTTTCTTTCTCTCGTCAGACTCCACGATCTCAACAGCTCTCCTGAAAGTAAAGGAGACGTGATCAGTCGATTTGTACAAACGTGTCTCATCGAGATGAATCGAATAAATCAGAATTTAACCGCGAAACCTGTCGTCAACTTCAGTTCACATCAATAAAACAAGAACAGCTGTATCTAACTGAACATCTGCGTGTTTTAAAGTGAGATAGACTGAAGCAGACGGAACATGAAGGCTGAATCCTTTACCTGCAGATGTCCAGAGCTTTCCTGGCGTCTCCAGATACAGCCGACACCTTCCTGGCACAGAACTGAACCGCCGAGGCGTCCAGGATCCCTTCGGCCGACGCCTGAGAAGAGGAAGCACAGAGATGAGTTTTCACGATCGCAACCAGCAGCAACAAACCTGAGAACACAACCAGCGGTGCTCACCTGAGCGAGCCGGTCCTGTACGATGGCCGTGAGCTCCTGGCGGCTGTAGGGAGGGAAGTGCAGCAGCTGGGGGCGGCAGTGAGGGCGGGCCTGCAGTCTGGGCAGGATGCGATCGGTCAGGTCCAGAGCGTTGGCGATACCTGCACAGGTAGAAGAACCGTTTGAGTCACAGCAACATCTGGCTTTACTTATTTATACACACAAAATCAGAAACTGCTGCTGTTTGTTGAGCAGAAACAGACATTTCCAGGTACGTTGGGGGTTTGAAGTCTTACCGATGAGACAGAGGCGAGACTTGGGCAGGTAGGGCCACTCAAAGATGGTGTAGAGTACGTCCTGGGCTTTGCTGTCCAGCTGATCCATCTCATCCAGAACAACCAGCCTGAGAGGGACAGAAAGGTGGAGTCAGTGTCTCTCCTGTGTTCAGGATCTGTCAGTCAGTAACATCTTGATCATTAAAGGTCTTTAATGTCAGGAATGAATCCTGTGACCAAAGCTGGGAAAGCAGATCTTTATCAGACTTGTGAACAAGCAGACTGGTGTACTCACACGGCGGGCCCCGGGGCCGTCAGGAACCGCTGCAGCCCGTTCTGTCCGCCGGACGCTCTCAGCTTGTCGGCCAGCAGCGGGAAGATGGCGTGGGAGCTGCGTAGGCTCATACAGTTCACCACCACGGTCTGCACGGAGGACAGCTCGGCCTGAAGAAAACAGCAACAGAGCACTCATTATTATTATAGAACAAGACGAGTTAACCGGAACAGACGCATCATGAGCCTGAACAGTCTCTCGGTGGCTTATTACTTTTTCAAGTTAATGTGCCTCATGAGAGCTGGAAACACCTGATGTCATGAGGTTCCTTTGTTTGCTTCCTCTACTCTGAGTTGTTTGATTAAGTGACAATCCCACAGACACGAGGCCTTTATCATCATCAGAGAGCAGCAGCCAGTCAGAGTGAAGCATCCCCACTAAAGGCCACTATTTAAAAAGCGTGGCATCCGTATTGATCACTGTCTATTTGTTTATTGGTATGTTTAAAATGACCACATATCAGAGTATCTCACTTTGACGTCCAACTCTGACCACGAGAAAAGCTGTTATTTGAACTAAAACCAGGGTGACCAGACGTCCTGAGAAATCTGGTCTCTGGTCATGAGCCGCCATTTAAAAATAGTCCAGAAAATAATTCATGAACCTATGCCAATAAATATCCCACTAAACAATCCAGGATCTTTATTGTTATTTTCCAGAAATGTGTGACTAATGTCCACGTAGATAAATAAATCAGAAATAGACTTTGCTTTATGCTGGTCACCCTGATTCTGTGGCGTTAACACAAAACATTATTAAGCATTAAATCAGTAGAACCTAATTTCTGGCACCTCTCTGCAGTTCCCTAAAGTCTCCACTGGGTGTCACTAAAGCCCTAAACGCTACCGACTCCTGGGTCTCACCTTCATGTCCTGCAGCACACAGTTGAGGCAGGCCGTCTTGCCGGTACCCGGGGCTCCGGAGATGTAGAGGCTGCTGGGGAGACGCTGCAGCACCTTGTCCCTCAGGAAGGAGCGGATGGACGCCCGCTCGGCCTCCCTGGACAGGAGGCGCTCGGGGACGGCGGTGTGGAGCGCCTGCTTCACGCCCTGAAACCTCGACTCTGGAGGAGAAACGGGCAAGTCACAGGTTAGTGATGCCGCCAAAGAACATAAATGAAGTCAAATCCATCTAAAGCAGGGATCTCCAACTCCGGTCCTCGTGAGCTACTGTCCTACTGGTTGGTTCCGTACTGCAACACACCTGACTCACATTAATGGATCTCCAACATCTTGTCAAGTTCTACACAAGTCTGTTGGAGATCCATTAATGTAACTCAGGTGTGTTGTAGTACGGAAACATCTACAATCTGTAGGACAGTAGCTTGGCGTTGGAGATCCCTGCTCTACACTTTAAGGCTGCAGTGAGGGGTGGAAATGTCCAGAGTGACTCCATCAGAAGACCAAACCTCTCATTAAAGTCCTCAGACGTGGCTTTAGAAACAGCAAACCCTGTTTTTAATAAATTATTCCAAAAACTCTGGTCACAGGCACTAAAGTGTGAATATTTGCCAGTTCTCTGAATTTTCCATGCACCTGTGCAACAAACAACATTTCAGCATTTCGGCTGCAGCTCTGGAAACCTGCGATTTACTGCTGCTGGCGAGTTAAGTGAGAAAACAACGGCCAGACTGCAGCGTCCTTCTACAACACATCACACGCTTCAGAGTTCTTACTTTCTGCAAACAGTCGAGCGACCGGTGGCTTCTTCTCTGCATTTTTGTGGACGGGACTCCCGGCGGGCGTTTCCTGTCTCCTCGGCGACGATCTGGCTGCAGGAGACGGCGGCGGCGAGGTCAGGACCAGCTGCCGGCGAGCCAGGACCGGCGAGTTCTCGTCAAAGCCCAGTTTTCGCGGTGAAGCAAGAGTCTGCTTGCTTTGCTTCGGCGGTGAACCGAGCAGCGCGAGGTTGCAGCCGTTGTCGTCGCCTTGAGGAGGAAAATACAGAACTTCAGGTTGTCTGTGGCATTTTAAGATCAGAAACTTAAACCTGTGCTGGTTTTATTTCACAGTGAACTGCTTCAGACCATCAAACTGAACCAAGACAACAGAACAGCAACACAAGAAAAGAAGATAAAGTCAAAATTAATTCCTGACTAGTGTCATCTGGACCAGACACACCCGGAGCAGATCACTGACATCTGGCCGGGCGGCATTTCACAACAGTGTGTGGGGCTGTGGTACTGCCCCGGGGTCCAGGCAGCCCGTTGTCTCTGAACGGCTCAAAAAAACAAGGTTCTCGAGGAGTTCCTGTGACAGAACCCTATGCAGACAGTTTCTGCTTAAAAAGCCCAGAGTGGCTGAAACAGAACCAGACAAGGTGTTTGGTTTCAGCTGATGGAGGTAGATTTACATCAGGTGACTGAGGGCCGAGTCATGTGGCCACAAACCACAAGCAGCAAAATATAAGGAACACTATTTAATATAAGTCTCTAAAAGCGAAGAAGCTCCATAAAATTAGAATTTACGTCAGAGTGTTGGATTGTTGGCTCACATGACACAGGTGGAGCTGGTATGTTTGGTCAGATCACCTTTTATACGTCAGATGTTGCTTTAAGCCCTACAACTATTTACTGATAGATGTCTACAAAATGAACCGAAGACTTTTGGTGAGTGTGGAGCCTCTCACCTGTGCGCTTTCGTGGGCTGAGAGGAAGTCGAGCTTGGACACCGGGAGAGGAAGCTGGTGGCGGCTGGGCTGCAGCTCGTCTGGGTGACAGAGGGGTCGGGATGGCGACCGGCTGCTTTGGGGAGAGAGGGGCGGGTCTGTCAGGAAGGAACCTGGGCGACAGAGGGTCAGGTGGGTTGGCGCGACGTCTCGGGCTGAGCGGTCTGATCCGGATCGGAGAGACGGGCCGAGGATCGGGCTTGGCTGGCGATGAGGCTGGCGATTTCTGGGGGTGCAGCGTCTTGGAGCGGGACGACGCTCTGCAGGATTTGCGTCGGGGGAACGGCAGCGTGGCCTGAGCTTGGCCCTGAGAGCGTGTGTTGGGCATCCTGAGTCCAACCTGAAACAAAGAGGACACGTCAGTACTGCAGAATACACACATCATATTTGTACTGG